TCTTCTTACCTTTCCTTTCCCTCCCCCCAGTTACTGAGTTCTCTCCTCAGAAAGCCAAGTGTTGCTAAAGAGCATAGGGTTCCCTCCAGATGAAGCCCTCTAGGCCAGGCTTTTAGTTATCTCTTTCACTTTCTATCTCTGCCAGAAAGGTCTCTGCTGCTACCCCTGGTGCTGAAATTCCCATGGTTCTGTAGCCTCCTCCTAGGTCAAATCTACCCAGTTTTGGATATGTAGTTGGGTGGATCTCTTGGGTATACTGGAATGCTGTACAGAGGGACTTTTGTTTGGTTGTGGATGTCCAATTAGTTGTAAATCAGCGGAGATAGAAAAGAGGAATGACCCACACCACCATGATGCTGATGGCCCTCTGTTTTGATTTTTAAATGGTGTATAAGTGCTCTATTCTTAAGTAAAAGTCCTGTAAATGTTTATATATGTGTACATTCATGTAACCTTCACCCCAATTAATGTATAGAACATTTGTAGCATAGCATAAAGTTCCCTCATGCCCACCTTACCAGTTTGTTTCCCACCACTCAGAAATAAACACTGTTTTAAATTTTTTTATTATTAATTTTACCTGTTCTTGAACTTCATATAAAGGGTACCATATAGTATGATCTTATTTGTATCTGGCTTTTTCACTCAACATGTTTTTCAGATTCATCTGTTATGTATATAAATAGTTTGTTCTTTTTTTTTATATTGCTGTTTAGTATTACATTGTATAGTATTACAAAAATTTTGTTTATCCACTGTCTTAATATGTTCTGGCTTATCTAACTAAATACAACAGATTAGGTGGCTTAAAAGCAACAGAAATTTATTTCTCACAGTTCTGGAGGCTGGAAGTCTAAGATCAACATGCCAGCATGGTCAGGTGAGGGTCATGGTTTGTAGCCAGTGCATTCTCGCTGTGTCCTCACCTGGTGGAACGGGCTAGGGAGCTTCAGGGGCTCTCTTTTATATGGCCTCATGAGGACTCCACCCTCATAACCTAAGTACCTCCCAAAGACCCATCTTCTATTAACATCATCTTTGGGTGGTTAGAATTTCAACATATTTATTTGGGAGGCACAGATATTCAGAACACAGCATCTAATTTGTTGCTTTTGATCATTTCTGTTATTTCCACATATTGACTATTATGAGCTTAGCTTCTGTGAACATTCTCTCTCTCTCTCTTTATCCCCCCCCCCCCAGCAGTATATGCTATAATTTTAATTTTTGGTTCCCTAATAAGTAATGAGGTTGAGTGTCTTTTCATATATTTACTATCCATTTGGATATTTAGTCTTGTGAAGACCCTATTTCAAAGTTCTTGCTCATTTTTTCCTTTAGGTCTTTATATATTCTTTTTTGAAAAATAACTTTTATTTTACCACTTGAGAAACAATATAAAAACCTTACAACAGTCCTTTGTGTGATTGTTGTTATATATTTTACCTCCGTATTATAAACCTTTCAATACATTTATTGTTACTTTTGATGTTTATTCATTAATTTTAAAAAAGATCTTTTTATTTCCTCACATAGTTATCCTTTTATTGTTTGCTCTTTGTTTCTCCCTAGTGATTCATGTTTCAACTACAGTCATTTTTCTTTAATCTGAAAAACTTCCTTTAGTGTTTGTTTTGATGTGTGACAAAAATCTCTGAGATTTTGTTTGAGATACTTTTGCCTTCATTTTTGAAGGATATTTTGCTGGGTTAGAAATCTAGCGTGGCATTTTTTTCTTTCATTGCTATACAGATATTATTCCTCCATCCGCTGTATTTGAAAAGCCAACTACTAATCTTGGTCTCTTGAATGTATACTTTTTACCCTCTCTCTGCTTTTAAGGTTTTCTCCTTAACCAATTTCAAGCCGTTTGACTATGATCTGCCTACATGTAATTTACTTTACATTAATATAAAATCCTATGTGGATATACTGAGCTTCTGGAATCTTTATTAATATTCTTGATCAATTTTGGAAAATCCTCTAAACTATAATCTCTGTGGATATTTTTTTGCCCTGTTCATTCTTCTCTTTTGGGGATTCCAATTGTATGTATCTTATACTGTGTCCACATGTCTGATCTTGTTCCTCCCGTTCTGAAGTTTTCTTTGAGTTCACTTTGAATATTTTCTATTGACTTGACTTTAGGATCATTACTCCTGTCTTCTAATGAGTCTTAATTTCAGATACTGTCTCTTTTAGTTCAGTAATATTCATTTGGTTCTTAAAGATTTCAGTTCTCTCTTGAAAATTTACATCTTTTTAATTCTTTTCTCGATTTTCTTTAATATATTATTATTTTAAAGTCCTTGTGTGGTAATTCCAATGCCTAAATTATGTGTGGGTCTGTCTCTGTTTCCATTTTTTCTCCTGGCTATTGATCAAACTTTCATGCTTTTCACAATTTTTATTGAATGACAAGTATCATAGATAAAAGTAACATAGAGATTTGTGTTACTTTCACTTCAGTAGGGTTTTTCCTTTGTCCAATCAGGAATTGAGTTAGAACAAGACTGGATTGCAGTTTTAATTAGATTCAACCTACCTCTGGTTTCAGATGTCATGAGGGGTTACTAGTTAGAGATTGGTTGGGTTTTTTCCTCCCTCACTTTATAAACTGTGGGAGATTTATTCTGCCCTTTACCCTCCTGCCCCATGCCACTTCCAAATACGGCCAATGTCTTGATGGAGAGACTGGCCATGTGTTTGAGACAGACCCTTTTCCTTGAGTCAGGCTGTGCCTCTGTATACTCTAATATCGTAGGAGATTTCAGTCTGACCTTCTTCTTAATTTCTGTGCAGCCCCCAGATAAAACAAATATACTATGAGGAAAATAGCACCGTATATTTAGGGATCCTAAGGTTTCCAAATTATTGTACCATCCCAACCCATTCTTCAGAAGCTGTGATTATTTTTTCCAGCCTAATATTCTTCAATTCAGGGCAAACTTGAGCCTAAATTCACAGAACAGGTTACAGTTTGAATGGGATTACCATAATTGACTTAAACTATCCCCAGTTTTGGCTGGGCTCACTTACCTTTGCACATTGTAGCCTGATACCTGAATATGGTTCACAAGCAAGAGGAGAGGACTAGTTGCTGGTCCTGCCACAGGGGACTTGTGTGCCTGAGAAGCCAGAGTGTTGGATGGGTTGTCTGTTTTGATGTTAAAATCATTAAGAATAATAAGAGTTGTAATGGAAAGAGGTAAATTGTGTGTAGAATTGTTATTCAAAGGGAGAATAAGATAGTGGGTAACTATAATAAACAGGTAATGAGGATTGCAGCAGACCTGGGACTTACAGGGAGGACAGAGGTGGCAAAGACGAGCAAGGATACCTACCCCACCTCCACATCCTGCACAATGGGGGGTGTAAGAGGAAAAGTAGCTTCCACTAATGTCCACGTGGTATTTTTATATCTCCCATATCTCTGCATTTTTTTACTGATGTTTAAACCCAAAGATGAAACATGTAAGAAATACTTATTGGATGTAGACAGTGATTGCATGCACAGTATGGTGTATCTAACACCTTTAATTCAAATTAACAAACATTTATTGACAACTATGCATGATGATGATGATAGTCTCCATACAGATGGTGAAGATTAATTAGAAAATTTCCATCCTCTGAAGGTCATAGTCCTTTGGAGTTCAATATATATTTAATATGTTTAAGTACTAATATAAGATATATAACTAATAAGTTACATAAAGCAATATATAAATAAATATAGTGATGTACTATATAATGACATTTTGGTCAACAGTGGACCATGTATAACATCAGGATCCCATAAGATTATAATTAGATTTAAAATTTCCTATGGCTTAATGACATTGTAGCTGTCTTAAAGTCATAGAGCAACTCATTACTCACATGTTTGTGGTGTTGCTGGTGTAAACAAATCTGTGCTGCCAGTCATATAAAAATACAGCACACACAATTACATTAGTAGGATATGCCATCTCGGTTTGTGTAAGTGCACTCTATGACGTTCCATGATGAAATTGCCTAACAGTGCATTTCTCAGAACATAGTGTAGTTAAGCGGTGCATGACTAATATAGACCAGTTAGTAATGATTTATACTAACGATGATGTTAAGGTAGAGCTTTACTATTTTTGGACAAGGATAGTTTTATTTCTTTTTTTTTTTTTAATCCTCACCCAAGGACTTTTTTGCATTTATCTTCAGATAGAGCAGGAGAGAGAAAGGGAGGAAGAGAGAGAGAGAAACATCGACGTGAGAGAGACACATCCACTGGTTGCCACCCACAGGACCCCAACCGGGGCCAGGGACAAACTGCAACCAAGGTACATGCCCTTAGCGGAAACCGAACCTGGGACTCTTCGGTCTGCAGGCTGATGCTCTAACTGCAGAGCCAAACTGGCCAGGGCAGGATAGTTTTATTTCTTACCTAAATGGTTTTAAAGTTTTTTTCCATATCTTTTGATACTATCTGGGAATAACACTCAACAGAGTTAATGTTTCTTTAATACCTTACATCTTTTCAGAACCATAATTTGTAGTTTTACTAAACTAATGAGCCAAAGTCATCTGTAGGTGGGCCTCAACTTCCATGCGTAAAAATCAGAAGGCCAGCACTTTTACATATTGTATATTGTATATTAACACCCTAAAACCTTCCTTCAAACACCAATCTCATTTTTCATATATTATCTGAGAGAACGTTTATTACATGAGGATACTTTCCTACATACAGGGTGAGGCAAAAGTAGATTTACAGTTGTGAGTATGTGAAACAGTTTGTTCTTGTATTATTATTATTTTCATATGAACAAGTGTAAACCTACTTTTGCCCCACCCTGTATATTGTAATTTTAAAGATGGCTACAGTGGAGTTTTGTGATTTAATGTGTTTACATGCTTTTTATCAATGGGTAGATCTTTTGACTAGTAGAATTATATAAGGATTTCTCTAGAAAGAAATATATATTGTTATTAGTTTTTCCTTTTATTTTTATTTTATAAAGAGTCAACACAGACTGTCCAAGCTCTGCAGTATTCAACTGTTGATGGTCCACTAACAGCAAGCAAAGATTTAGAAATAAAAAATTTAAAGGAAGAAATTGAAAAACTAAGGAAACAAGTAAGAGGTAAATTTCTGTGATTCACTGTTAATTCATTTTAGTAGATTGAAAACAAATGTTTTATTCACACATGAAACATTTACTGAGTACTTGTCATGTGTTATGTGGTATGGGCTATATACCAGTGAGGGTAAAGCAAATAAGAATGGTTTCTGCTCTCAGGAGCTCACATTTTTGTCTGGGAAAAAGAGAAATAGTTTTTGCAATATATGTGTAAAGGCTATAAGAAAAATAAACACGGGGACAAGTAGAGTACATAGGAGGAGCACCTAACCCAGATTTAAGTTAACAAAGATGAATTTTTTGGAAGACCTATTAGTTTGGGATATTTAATTGGAATTTGTCTGACAAAGTATACATATGAGTAGGGGAAAGAGGGTTAGGAGTGAGGAAGGACCGACAAGGGAATTACATATACAGGCATTAAGGCATGTGAAATTTTGTTTTTTAATCCTCACCTGGGGACATTATTGCATTTATTTTCAGTTAGAGTGGAAGGGAGAGAGGGAGGAAGAGAGAGAGAAACATCAGTGTGAGAGAAACACGTCAAGTGGTTGCCACCCACACGACCCCAACCAGGGCCGGGGACAAACTGCAACTGAGGTACATGCCCTTAGTGGGAACCAAACCTGGGCCTCTCTGGTCCGTGGGCCAGTGCTCTAACCACTGAACCACACCGGCCAGGATGGAATTTTTTTTTTTTTAATAAAACATTTTTGTAACCCATAATGTACTTTGTAACACCCATTCTTTTATTGCCTTGAGGTTGGTGGTTTGTGCCTCCATATATTGTCTTTGTCTCTCCAACCCTAAACATTCTTTCCCTCTCTCCCTTTCTCCCCCTCCCCCTCTCTCTCTCCTTCTCTCCCCTACTTCTTCTCCTCCTCCCTCTCCCCTTCCCGTCTCTCTCCCCTAAATTATGTAAGTAAAGGAGAAATGGTGAATGATTGGGGCAATAATAAATGTTGTATCTATCATGATTAGAAGTAAAATCTCATCTCAGAAGAATTATGAATTATTTTAGGAATAAGAACATAATGGAAAAGCTATGACATTATGCCCTTGCATATCAGAGAGAGCTGCTTTGATTATTATACCAATCTTCCTCTGACTCCAGTCTTAGCCACTTTGCAATTTACCAAATGCCACTTCGCAGACAATTTCAAAAATTCTTTAAAAAACTGTACTATCCATAAAAGTATTTAGACTTTCAAAATACCTAAGATGAATAAGCTTTCAGTAAACACATAATTTTAGGGTACTAAATATTAGTAAATTATTGAATTTAAGGTAACTTGAACCAGTTTGTGTATGATACACTGATACATTTAAGTGGCTTTTTGACTACAGGACTTGTCTATATAAATGAAATATTTATTCTTTTTTTTTTTTTTTTTTAATCCTCACCCGAGGACATTTTTCCATTTTTTGTTCAGGTAGAGTGGGAGGGAGAGAGAGGAACAGAGAGTGAGAGAGAAACATTGATGTGAAAGGAACACATCGAGTGGCTGCCACCCGCACAACCGACCAGGGCCCGGGACAAACTGCAACCAAGGCACGCGCCCTTAGCGGGAACCGAACCCGAGTCTCTCAGGACCGCAGGCCGATGCTCTAACCGCTGAGCCAAACCGGCCAGGGTGAAATATTTATTCTTCCATTGGACTAATATAAACACCACTTCATTTATTGAAAGTGTCAGACCCAACAATGTCCAATTATTTTTGCATTTGTTCTCATACTTTATTTTGCGAACAAGTCACCCAGGAATCTTAATAAAATAGATTCTGATTCAGTAGGTTTGGAGTGTGCCTGAGTAGGCCTGAGATGCTGATTTCTAACAAGCTACCAGACCTCGATTAGTGGTTTCTAAATAATTACTTTTAGAAACCAGAGTTGATTATTCAATCATCACTATCCAGACTGTGTGATCTGGAACCACAATATTAGAAGCAAAACCATCTTACAGTAATTTGACTAACATCAACACACAGATGCCAACAAACAGTAGAGTTAAACTTGTCTGTTTTATTTGTTTGGCTGGTTTTGTTCTTTTTGTTCCTTGTAAATTTTTAATTGGTTCTAAAGGTACTGTTTTTTAGAACTATAGTCTTTTTATTCTAATAAATATGTAAGTCATTTTGCACATCTTCACACTGGCATTCGCTCTTTATCATCTTTACGTGATAAGCATTTAGTTGTCATGAATCAAAGTGGTATGTGGTGTCAATAAACCTAAATTCAAAATTTTTATTTTTAATTTAGTTGTTTTAAACTTTGGTTTAAAGCATTTATTTTTACATAAATAGTAAAAGAAACATTGTCTTCTCTTTTAGAATCAAGTCACTTGGAACAACAGCTTGAAGAAGCTAATTCGGTGAGGCGAGAACTAGATGATGCTTTTAGACAAATCAAGGCATATGAAAAACAAATCAAAACATTACAACAAGAAAGAGAAGAATTAAATAAGGTAAAACATATGGATATATTGTTAAAGGCTTTTCTGAATTCTTAATCTTGTTTAATTTGTTTACTGAAAGCATTCATATTGAATTACACTAATACATAGTATATTTTATCTGTAAACATTGGTTTAAAAGTTAAGCATTATTTTGGTATGTCATTTGATTAATAGCCAGTAATGAAAAAACTTATATTCTTGAGGCTTTAAAGTTCATAATCTTTAGTTCTTTTATGAAGTTACTAATCAAAGGACTTTATTAACAGTGAATGTTATTTAAAAAGAAATATGAAGAAATAAGAGAATAGTAAAATCAGTTTAGTGTCTGCAGAAAAATTAAAAATATAGGCACATTTTTATTGTGAAAATCAACATTCTTAGCCCTGGCCGGTTTGGCTCAGCAGATAGAGCGTCAGCTCACGGTCTAGAGAGACCCGGGTTTGGTTCCCGCTAAGGGCACGTACCTCGGTTGCAGTTTGTCCTCAGCCCAGTTGGGGTCATGTGGGTGGCAGCCAGTTGATGTGTCTCTCTCACATTGATGTTTCTCTCTCTCTCTCATCCTCCCTCTCTCCCCTCTCACTCTATCCGAAGATGAATGCAAAAATGTCCTCGGGTGAGGATAAAAAAACAAGAAAAATCAACATTCTTAAAAGATTATAGTAGAAAATGTCTTTAATGCTTTAATAATTTTTTTTAATGTCAGTTTGTCTTTCAAAGCATAGATGACCAAACTAAAATTATTTTCATAAGAACTTTCTGTAACAATTAAACAGTATTATAAACACTAACAGAATGTATTAATAGCTAGGACACTGTGACACAGTCCAATAGGATACATAATATTCAGGCACTAGAGAAAAATACTTTACTTAAACCACACACTGTGTTGACATATCTTTTTAAATGTTGGGATTAATATTAGCCAATTCAAAAAAGAAATGAGTGGCTTATGGTGCAGTAAAAATTGCATTCAATGATGTAATATATAATGCATTGGTAATACAGAATGCAATTCTGCTGGGGAAGATTTAGAAGTCTTGTTTTTAGTAAAGAAATGGAAATAATTATAACTAAAACAACCTTTACTGATGAAGGTAATAAAAAAGACAGAAATTATAAAAGTTAAATTGAATTAGGTTAATATACTATTAATATTATGTAATTATATAATCATATATATAATTTATACTATAATGTAAAATATAACAAGTATAGAGTATAATAATTTGACAGTTATATATAATAACCATATTATATATCATTTAGAATAATAGTATATTAATATACAGATTATTAATAGTATATTTCGAGAAGTGGGTAATGCTGAAAAGAAACATTGATAAAGAATTTTAAATGATTTACTTAATATTGTATAGGCAGCAGATATTCTTTTAAAGATTTTTTTCATTTGATGCATATGAAAGAATAAATGTAACATTAAGTAACTTTTGATGGAAATAATCAGATGAACATCTCTTAACCTACCATCTAACTTAAGAAATAGAACATTACCTATTTTGTGGCAAACCCTGTCTATCCCTTTCTCCTCACGTCACTGAAAATGGTAATCACTATTCTAAATTTTGTTAAGCTTAAAAAAACTTTTAATGATATATTAGTGTATCTCTAAATATATCAGTATTGCTTGTTTTGAACTTTGTAAAATGATTTATGCAATAATTTGCAGTTGGCTTTTTTTTTTTTTTCTTTGTTATATTTCTAAGATTCATCTATGTAGCTATAGAGCTATATAATACATCATATGTGAACACTCCACAGTTTGTTTATCCAAATTTTTGTTCAGGTTTCAGTTGTTTATAATTGATAGCTACTATAACCTTGTTGCTATGAACATTCTTGAACATATATTCTGATGTGTGCACACACACAAATACTGATAGAATAATTGGATCATAGCCAATGTAGTGATTCTATTTTTTATAATACCCAATTGTTTTCCACTGATTTATACTCCCACCACTAGTGTATAGGAGTTTTATATTAAACAATACTTCATATTACTAGATATATCCTTTTGGGCCAACCTAGGGTAAAATGATGTTTCATTATGGTCTTTTTTATTATTTCATTTTTTTTAATCCTCACCCGAGGACATTTTTCCATTTTTTGTTCAGATAGAGTGGGAGGGAGAGAGAGAAAGAGAGGGAGAGAGAGAGAGAGAGAGACATTGACCTGAAAGGGACACATCGAGTGGCTGCCACCTGCATGACCAACAGGGCTGGGGACAAACTGCAACCGAGGTACGTGCCCTTTGCGGGAACCAAACCCAGGTCTTTCTGGACCGCAGGCTGAGGCTCTAACTGCTGAGCCAAACCGGCCAGGGCTCATTATGGTCTTAATTTGCATTTCTCTCATTACTAATGAGGTTGAATATCTTCACATATGTCTGTTTATCATTTATATTTCTTCTTTGTGAAATGCCTATCCTTTTTACATTTTCTGTTGGGTTGTTTGTCTTTTTCTTATTAGTTGTAAGAATTCTTGAAAATTCCAGGTCATATTAATCTTTTGTCAGTTATATATGTTACAGATGTCTCCCAGTTAGTGATTTGTCTTTTCACTTTTTTTATGGGATCTTTTGATGAACAAAGTTGTTGATTTTAATGTAGTCAAATTTATAAATATTTTTATGGTTAGTGCATTTTTTGACTTGTATGAGAAATCTGAGGTAAAAAAACAGTTCTCCTAAATTTTTATCTTGAAGTTTTTAAGTTTGATCTTGCATATTTAAATTTAATGCACCAGAAATTATTTTTGTGTATCATGTAAGATAATCCATTTTCACTTTTCCCATATGGCTAACCAGTTGTTCATTTACTAAAAGGCACTCCTTCCCCCAGTGATGGGCAGTGTCACCTCTGTCATAAATCAGATTTACATTCATGCATTGATATCTATCTCAGTTCTCTTCTTGACAACTGTGATGGGATTTTTATTAAAATTGCATGAAGTCTATAGAGCAATTTTAGGAGAATTGATATCATTACAGTATTGAGTCATTAAGTTTCTACTATCCATATTTATTAATATTATTCTAAATGCACACTTGATTTCAGAGCAGGACAGGTTATTATGGGTAGTAGTCCCCCATGTCAGTGGGTATATGTTCCAAGACCCCCATTGGGTGCCTGAAACCGTGGATAGTACTGAACTCTATATGTATTAAGTAAAATAAGTGTTACTTGAGCATAAACACTATAATACCCTGACAGTTGATCTGATATAACCAAGAGAACTCCTAAGTGACTAACAGCCATGTAGTGTATACAGCGTGGATACACTGGACAAAGGGATGATTCCTGTCATGGGCAGGGCAGCGCAAGGTGGCATGAGATTTCACCACACTGTCTAGAACGGCAGGCTATTTAAAACTTCTGAATTGTTTATTTCTGGAATTTCCTATTTCATATTTTCAGACCTGGGTTGACTAAGGGTAACTTAGTCAACCAAGAGCAAATCCATGGATGGGGGGGGGGGGTGGAGATTACTGTATATACAGCAAAAAATAACTATGTGGCTCCCTGTGTGCCAGTTTTTACTTCTGGGGCAATTCAGTGATTGCGGGATAGTTAAAACCATACACATAACAGTCTGTAGTATCATAGATGTGGAGCCCTGAATAAGTGTATAGAGGAGAGAAGCAAATACTTTCTGCTTCCCTCCTAACTCCACCCACCCGTCTGAGACTCTCCTTGGAAACCTAAAGAAAAGGAATCAGGACACTTGGGAATATAAATAAAGCATTCCAGTGGAAAGTTATTCGCAGAGTCTCCAGCTTTATAAAGAAGGTATCTCCCTGGTTTAGGCTCTTAACTCTCTCTACACCTTCTTGAAAGGGAAACACACATGTCTAGGAGTTAAATCTCTTAGGATTTTCTCACCATCTAAATTACTCATAAAATACTTTAAAAGGCTTGCGCAAGTCCCAAGTTTCAGTAAAATTTACTTAGAAAGGCCCAACTGTACAAAAACATAAAAAGATTTTCTCTACCCAGCTGGTGTGGCTCAGTGGATTGAGCGTTGTCCCATGGACTAAGAGGTCCCTGTTCAATTCCTGGTCAGGGCACATGCCCATGTTGTGGGCTCGATCCCCAGTAGGGGGCATACAGGAGGCAGCTGATTGATGTTTCTGTCTCACATTGATATTTCTCTCTCTCTCCCATCTTCTCTCTCTGGTCAATGTTTCTCTCTCACGTCGATGTTTCTCGCTCTTTTTCTCTCGCTAAAAAATCAATAAAAACGTATTTTGGGAAAAAAAATTTTTTTCTCTACAGCCCCACAGTCTTTTAATCTACAAACATGCTATATCTCTCCATATATTTCAAGTGTTTTAAAATGTTTCTGTAAAATTTTATACAGGTTCTGTTTGCTTTTCCTTAAATTTATCCTCTATTTTTTTCATATTTTATATGGTATCTTTAAAAATTACATTTTCTTACTGATCTTGTTTTAGCAACATTGCTAAACTCTTATTGTAATAACACATTTGAGATTCTTTAAAGTATTTTACAAATAATGACAATTTTGTTTCTTTCTTTTATTTATTTTTTATGACGTTTCTTTCTTTCCTTGTCTCACTGCATTAGCTTGGACTTATACTACTACATCGAATAGAAGTGCTGCTTGCAGGCATTCCTATCTTATTCCTGATTTCAGAGAAAATGCTTTTACTATTTCACCACTAATAATAATGTTTTCTGCAAATGCTTCTTATCAGGAAGGAAGTTTTCTGTTCCTATTTTGCTAACCATTTTTATCAAGAATGGGTATTGAATTTATTAAATGTGCTTTTATGTACAGTGTTGCAACACATTTTTGGGACTTCTTAATATCTGTTGATGTAATTATATGATTGTTCTCCTTTAATAAGTTGGTGTGGTAAATTATATTTATAGACTTTTCTTAATGTTAAACCACTTGTGCATTTCCGGGTTAAACATAAATTGCCCATGTATTATCTCCTTAATAATAATATGATAGTATAGGTAACACATAGCATCTGTTCTAATAGCACTATTTTAAGCACTTTACGTATATTAGATCATTTAATCTTTGTAAGTGCAATGGTATTATTATTATTCTCATTTTACAGATGGTAAGTCTGAGCACAGAGAAGTTAAATACTTTTGTTCAAGATCATAATAGAGCTGGAATTTTAACACAAGGAGTCTAGTTCCAGAGCTCATGCTTCTCACTTTAGACATCACTTAAACTGATTTGCTAATATCTTTTCTTTAGGATTTTTAAATTTTATTTTCATTAGTAAGGTTATCTTGTTATTTTTTTCCCTTATCTTTCTGATCTTTTCTTGATATCAAGATTATACTGGTTTCATAGAATGAGTTAGGTAACATTGCCTCTTTTTCTATTCTCCTAAAATGTTTGTGTAAGAGGTACATTTTGTACCTTGAAATATTGGAGGAATCAACAGTAAAACCATCTGAGCTTGGAGATTCTCTCCTGGAAGGAGGATGGGAGAAAGTTTATTGATTTAGTTACTTTAATTGCTATAAGACTATTGTGGCATTTTATTTCTTCTTAAAACCGTTGTTGGTAAATTGTAATTTTTTTAGGCATTTGTTCATTTCATAGGGTAACAGATTTATTGGCATAAAATTTTTCATTGTGTTCTTTTATTACCCTTTTTGATCACTCTCAGATTTGTAGTTATAACCTTTCTTTCTTAATATTTTTTTGTGCATTTATTCTTATTCCCTTATTTGATATCATCAGATGTTTTCCTGTTTTATTTATTTTTTCCAAAGAACCAGCTTTTGGTTTTGTTGATCTCATTATTCTCACATTTCTTTTTTATTAATTTATGCCCTTTATCTTCTCATATTTAGCAGGGAGGGGTTAACGAGCTGTTCTTTATGTGGAATTTCATTTCAAGCATATTTTTAGTTTCAATATAAGTATTTTTCAGGTTTATAAAATTTCTGCTAAATACAGCTTTTACTGTCTCTTCAAGTTTTAGTATATACTAAATATTTTTAGTTTTTGGCATTTTTAATTTTAAATAATTTAGTATCTTTATGATTTTACTTTCTGACCAATGAATTATGGAATTTAGCCTTTTAATTTTTTTTTTTTATCCTCACCTGAGGATATGTTTGTTGAGTTTAGAGAGAGAGGAAAGTGAGGAGAGAGCGAGCAAAATAGAAAAAGAAAGGTGGATTTGAGAGAGAAACATAGGTCAGTTGCCTCCCATAGGCACCCTGACCAGGGATCAAACCCACAACCTTTTGGTGTATGGGAGAGTGCTCCAGTTAGCTGACCCACCCGGCCAGGGATAGCCTTTTAATATTTATTTCTATTTTAATGCTAATGTTATTAAAAGAACTTGATCTATGTGATATCTGTTCTTTGAAATCTACTGAAACCTGGCTGTTAGGTTTTTAATTGTTCAATATGTGCTTGAAAAGAATGTGCATTCCTAGTATTAGGTGTAAACTTCTATATATGAAGCTTGTTGTGTTTTTTTTATATGCACACATATCCATTAACTACCACAAAGTCTTTATTTTGACCATTACATCTTGTATTCCTACATTCTCTATTTATTTGTAGAAACCAAAGTACTAAAAGGTTAAATCTGCTGTTCCTTTGCAGTTAGCATGTTAGCATAAGGAACTGAGGATATGAACAGAGTACCATGATCTTAATATCTGTTCAGAATTAGTTCATTTCTTTTAATTTTATCCTAAGGGGAAAAATTTTGGCTCTTCTTGACTTCATTATAGCAACTTTGATGGCCAGATTTGGTCCCTAGGTTGCAGAATTGGTAACTTATATTCTTTTTATAAAACTGTAGGAACTAGTCCAGGCTAGTGAGCGATTAAAAAACCAATCCAAAGAGCTGAAAGATGCACACTGTCAGAGGAAACTGGCCATGCAGGAATTCATGGAGATCAATGAGCGGCTAACAGAATTGCACACCCAAAAACAGAAACTTGCTCGCCATGTCCGAGATAAGGAAGAAGAGGTGGACCTGGTGATGCAAAAAGTTGAAAGCTTAAGGCAAGAACTGCGCAGAACAGAAAGAGCCAAAAAAGAGGTTAGTAGTCAGGCAAAGTTTGTAGTGTCCATGTGGTAGTGATTAAAACTGCTTTTTTCAGACTAGTGAAATAATATATATTTCATTCTTTAACTTTTGAAAAAGGTTTTTTTTATGTGTTTGGTAATATTATTTAATATGAATTTCAACATTTGAGTTATCTTCCTGTTACAAGGTAAATTCTCATGGGGAAAAAGCTTTTTTTTTTAAACAGTTGTAACCATGAATCTGCTTTTTTCATTTTATTTTAAAGCTGGAAGTTCATACAGAAGCTGTAGCTGCTGAAGCATCTAAAGATAGGAAACTGCGTGAACAGAGTGAACACTATTCTAAGCAACTAGAAAATGAATTGGAAGGACTAAAGGTATCATTTATTTTCATATTTATGAAGCTGAATTAATTTTTTCTTCTTTAGGATTCAAAGGAGTATTAGTTACCTGCTCTCTTTGGTGTAGAATAAAAATTAGCTATCCTTCCAACTTAGTATTCTTAATTCTTATTTTTACCAATAAGAAGCTGATACTGATTTCTTCATCATAGTATAAGGAAGGAAAGGTTATGTTTAGAGGGAAGAAAGAATCTATCAGGAAAGAGTTAAAATATATATGCAGGGCTGCATACCTGACAAGATCTATTGCTAATTTGCATGGGAGGCATGGTTAAATATCCGACCCTCTATCTTGTTAATGACCTAGGAGAGGCTCAGAGGAAGCTTTGTAGATACTTCTGTTAGGTGAGATGAGATCATAATGGGCAGGGACTAACATATCTCAGCAGAAGTGTTTAGCAAGGGAAATATTCTTATGCCAGCTCTGGAGTTGGACTGCCTGGTTTTAACTCCTAGCCTCGTCAGTTACTAGTATGTAATGCTGGATATAACATTTAACCTCTTTGGACCATATTAAAAACACCCAAAAAAGAAAATTAAATACTAGTATTTCTAAATATAGATGCATAAGTTCTCAACAGAATACTAGTAAACCAAATCCAAAGCTATACTAAAAGGATTATACACCATGAGAAAATGGGATTCATGCTTGGGATACAGGGGTGGTTCAATGTAAGAAAATAAATCAATATAATATATCACATCAATAGAACCTAGAGAAGAAATATGATTGTTTTAATTCATGCATATGACATTTCACAAAAGCCAACATTGTTTTATGATAAAAACTCTCAGAAAACTAGAAATAGAAGTGAATGTACTTGATATGATAAAAGGCATTTATGAAAAACCCATAGCTAGCATCATTATTCAGTGATGAATGACTAAAAGTTTCTTCTAAGATTAGGAATGAGACAAAGACGCTCATTTTCACCACTGCTATTTAACATTATCCTGGAGGTTCCAGCCAAAGGAATTGGACATGAAAAAAAAAAAAATTGAGAGATATCCAAGCTAGAAAGGAAGAAAAACTATCTCTATTCACAGATCACATTATCCTATATATTCCAGAGAAAACAACTAGCTTCCATTGTAGCATGTATGAAGCTTGGAAGTCTCTGCTTTGTTCTAACAACAATTAAGAACTGAAGAAATTAGAAAATCAGCAACTCTTCTTTAGATCTATAAGAGAAATGACATCACAGGACAAACTGCTACCCCCCAAATTGGAGAGACTGAAAAGCAAATATAGTGAAGGACAACTTACTAGAGCAGAAGACTTTGTAGTAGTCAGTGCTAGTGTAGGGGAACATGAACTGTAATTGAAAAATATCTGCGGAACACATGGAATAAGTCTGAGAGATAAAAGCTAGGGGGAGCCAGTCATTAGAGACCCCCCCCCAGTTTTGTGAGTTTTATCTCATGAAGCTCTACCTGGTTCTCACAGTGAATATCAGAACAATCTTGTGATAACAGTAGGGGAACCATTTCTAGAGCATTCAGTTTTTCTTCACAAGGTCTGCCCTCAGGGGAAACTCTTCAACCAGAACCCAACTTGCTGGGGTTTTATCAGAGCAGAACTGACTTGAAGGAAGGAGACTACCTAATCCTAGCCCCCTCTAGCCATCCTGTTCAAACTAAGGGGAAGGGAGGAGAAAAACTGACAAAGTTGTCTGAAGTTACAGTCTAGAGGTACAGGTTCAATAAATCTAATCTTAGGACAACTTACCACCAGATTACTAAAACACAGTATAACAGAATATGCACAAGATCTATATGGGGAAAATTACAATACTGATGAAAGAAAGCTAAGAAGAACTAAATAAAGAGATATTCCACATTCATGGATAGGAGACTCAGTGTTGTCAAGATGTTAGTTCTTGATCTATAGATTTGATACAGTCCCAATCAAAGTCCCAGCAAGTTCTTTTGTGGATACCAACAAACAAGCTAAAGTTTATATGGAGAGGCAAAAGATCCAGAGCCAACACTGAATTAAGAAAAAGAGCACGGTTGGAAGACTGACACTACACGACTAAGACTTACTGTAAAGCTACAATGATCAAGACAATGTAGTATTGGCAAAAGATTATACAGGTAAATCAACTTTGACAAAGGAGCAAAGGCAATACAGTGGAGGTGCAAAAATTATCCTTTCAACAAATGGTGCTAGAACAACTAGACATCCACATTAAAAAAAAAAAAATTTAGACACATACCTTACACCCTTCACAAAAATGAACTCAAAATGAATCAGTGATAAATGTAAAATTAAAACTATAAAACTCCCGCAAGATAATATAGGTGAAAACCTATATACCCTTTGGTATGGCAATGACTTTCTACATAAGGCATCATCAAAGGCACAATCCATGAAATAACGAATTGATATGTTAGACTTCATTGAAATTAAAAATTTTCTGTTCTGTGAAAGACTCTGCCAAGAAAATGAAGACAAGGCACAGACTGCGAGAAAATACAGACATCTGATAAAGACTTATTCAAAATATACAAAGAACTCTTAAAACTCAATAAGAAGCCCTGGCCAGTTTGGCTCAGTGATTAGAGTGTCGGCCCGTGGTCCAGAGAGACCCAGGTTCGGTTCCCGCAAAGAGCACGTGCCTCGACTGCAGTTTGTCCCTGGCCCTGGTTGGGGTTGTACAGGAGGCAGCCGCTTGATGTGTCCCTTCCATGTTGATGTTTCTCTCTCTCTTCCTCTCTTTCCCTCCCACTCTATCTGAACAAAAAATGGAAAATGTCCTTGGCTGAGGATTAAAAAACAAAAACCAAACTCAGTAAGAAAACAAGAACAACAGGGTTGCAAGATCAACACACAGTAATTAGTTCTGTTCCTGTAAGCCAGTAATGAACAATCCACCAAGGAAATTAAGAAAGCAGTTATAGTTACAGTAGCATCTAAAAGAATAAAGTGACTTGGAATAAACTTAACCAAAAAGATTAAAGACTTATGTACTGAAAATTATAAAACATTGCTGGAAGAAATTAAAGGAGAGCTAAATAAATAGACAACCCTTATTTATGGTTAGGAAGACTTACTATTATTTACATGTCATTGTTACCCAAAATGATGTACAGGGTCAGTGCAATCTCTATTTCCAACAGTCTTTTTACAGAAAGAAAATATGATCTTCAAATTCATATGGAATTAGATAAAAGTGGTTCCAAATAGTCTAATAATCTTGAAGAGGAAGGACAAAGTTGGAGGACTTACTTTCCAATTTCAAAACTTACTATGAAGTTACAATAACAAGAGTGTGATACTGGCATGGAATTAAGAGTCCAGAAATGAATTCATATCTATAGCCCATTGAATTTTGACATAGGTAGTGAATCCATGCAGTGGGGAGAGAATATTCCCTTTAACTCATGTTCCTGGACAACTGGATTTCTACATGCACAAAACTGAATTTGGGCCTCTACCTCACACCATGTGAAAAAACTTAACTCAGAGTGGATCAACAACACAAATATAAGAACTACAACCATAAAACTCTTTGAAGAAGACATTGGGATAAATCTTCATGCCCTTGGGTTTGACAATGGAGTCTTAGATATGACGTCAAAAGCACAAGCAACAAAGAAAAAATGGATAGCCCTGGCCAGTTTGGCCCAGCGGTTAAAGTGTCGGCCTGCGGTCCGGAGAAACCCGGGTTCGGTTCCCGCTAAGGGCACGTACTTCGGTTGCAGTTTGTCCCCGGCCCTGGTTGGTCGTGCGGGTGGCAGCCAGTCGATGTGTCTCTTCACGTCGATGTTTCTCTCTCTCTCTCCCTCCCACTCTATCTGTACAAAAAATGGAAAAATATCCTCGGTTGAGGATAAAAGAAAAATAAGAAGAAGAAGAAAAAATGGATAAAGTGGGCTTCATCAAATAAAAACTTGTATACATCAAAGGACATTATTTAAGAAAGTGAAAATACAGTCTAAATAACCAAAGGAACTATTTGTAAATCAAATAATCTGATAAGGTTTGATATCCAGAATATATAAAGAACTCCTACATCCCAATAGAAAAATGGACAAATAACTTGCATAGACATTTCTCCAAAGGAGATATATTAACAGCCAATTGGCACATGAAAAGATATTCAACATTAATTATTAGGGAAACTACAAGATACCACTGCGTACCCATTAGGATGACTAAAAAAGAAAAATGGAATGAAAGGAAGAGAAAAGAATTACGTTTGCAAGGATGTGAAAACAGTTTGGTGGTTCCTCAAGAAGATTAAGCAGAATTACCATATAATCCAGCAATTTAACTCTTAAGTATATAGACAAAAGAACTGTAAGCAGGACTCAAACAGATACTTGTATACCAGAGTTTATTGAAACAGTATTACAGTAGCTCAGAGGTAGAAATAATCCAGGTGTCCATCAACAGGTGGAGAGAAACAAAATGTGGTTTGTACATACAATAGAATGTCACTCAACCATAAAAAATGATGAAGCTGCTTATTTGATACATGCTCCGACAAGGATGAAACTTGAAAACATTATGCTAAGTGAAATTAGTCAGATACAAAAGGACAAATATTATATGATTTTACTTATATAAAATACCAAGAACAGGCAAATTCATTGAGAAAGTAGAATTTACCAAGGGCTGAGTGCAGAGTTAATGGGGAATTATCCTTAATAGTTACAGAATTTCTCTTTGGGATGATGAAAAAATTTTGGAAATGCATTGTGAATGTAGTTTAATACCACTGAATTGTACACTTAAATGGTTAAAATGGCAAAATTTATATTGTATATAGTTTATCACTTAAAAAATAACAATGTATTATACCAAAACCGTTGAATTCTATACTTTTTTTTTTTTGTTTTTTTATCCTCACCCAAGGAAATTTTTCCAATTTTTGTTCAGGTAGAGTGGGAGGGGGAGAGAGAGAGAGAGAGAAACATCGATGTGAAAGGGACACATCGAGTGGCTGCCACCCGCACAACCGACCAGG